GAATGAACTAATTTAAAGAGCTTGCTATCATCAACGTTCATTAGTATTTTAGAATGGAGAACCCCATTTGGAAGGTCATTGACGAATATAAGGAAGAGTAAAAGGCCGAGGTGACTGCCTTGAGGAACACCAGGTGTTAGTGCTATTACACGTGATGTAAAATATTTAAAAATTACTTTTTGTTTCCTACCAGTCAAGTATGATGAAATCCACTGGAGGAGAGAAAGTGTTGCTCTATCTTTTATGTAGTTTTAAAGAAAGAGAGACCTTGTCAAATACTTTGCTGAAGTCAGTGTAGATAACATATGTTTGATTACCATTTTTGAAACCATTACTGATATGGGTTTTGAATTCTAGCAGGTTCGATGGGGTAGATTTGCCTTTAGAAAACCCATGTTATGAGTTGTTTATTATTGATGGCACAGAATGGGCTAATTGATCTGTTATAATAGCTTCGAAAATTTTGGGGATAGAACATAACTTTCATATCCCCCTATAATTCCCTATTGAAGATCTACTACCAGATTTATGTTGAGGTAAAATGTATGACTTAATCAGTTTTGTTTTAATGAAGCATTTAAGTACACTAGATGGGATACTATCAGATAGGAGAATGAGTATTTAATCCTAACACCATAAATTTGTTATGGACATGAAATATATAAAGACAGCTCTACTTTCTTCATTGACTTTTACTTCATCCCCAGCATAATAATCAAGCTCGATTTCTCGGTGCCCAAATATCTCATCTTTTCTCCTCCAGCTCCAACCGGTTTTCATTACCTAAATAATTAATAATAAATTTGACATTTATAGATTTTTCGAAAGCAATTAATAATTGCTAAAAATCTGAAATATTATTTGAACAGTACAATTGTTCGTAATTCAATTTCAAAGAATTAGTATCTAATATGTATGTGTGCATATGTATTTACATTAGCGAACTTTCATTTCAAAATAGTTACTGTAATACTAATCAATTTTGATGAGTAAGTTAACTTAATTTGATTTACGAAGAATAGTAGAACCAACGCTTAAAACTTTTCAGCTCAGTTGCTATAATTTCTACATGCGTATGTAGCGCCATAACTAAACTTTGGTGAGTCGCACATACATACATAAATGTTTGGGCTGCCCCAAAGGAAACCGGCGATTTTTAATACAAAACTGCTTAGACCTATTTAATTGTATTTTTTCTTTTGACTGTTATAAGCTGTTATAAGCTGTTACTTTTAGCTTTATTTACAAAAAAAAGTACGCGTAAGGCTTTATGCGAATCTGATCGTCTTGTAGCCGAGCGTCAGATTGGAGAAAAGTCAAATATACCAATATCAGCCATTCATAACCAGATAAGATAAAAAATTGGATTGTTTGCAAGAACGTCAATCGAAAACGATCGTGGTCCAAGCATTATGTAGCGCCACAAACTACTTCAAAGGCTGATATTCAATAAAGGAAGATTATCCTGTCAGTTTGGTGGGCTTGGAAGGGAGTGATATATTTTTGAGCTGCTTCTAATGAACCAAACGATTACTTCGGATGTCTGCTGCGAACAATCGCAAAGATGTCATATTTTCCCCAGGACAATGCTAGACCGCATACATCTCTGGTCACGCGCCAAAAACTGAGAGAGCTTGACTGGAAACTATTGATGCATCCATCATACGAGGTGTGACAATTAAGTAATGAGCCTGATTCCATGAAAACCGTATATTTCAGAATTATTCTACAACTCTGCTATCCCCTTCAAAGTAGTCCCCTTGGGCAGCTATACACCGATTCCAGCGCGTTTTTCATGCCACATTTTTAGAACGCTTCGACTGTGATGTCCGCGAGTACCCTTGTCACGGCCGTCTGGATGTCCTCAATTGACTCAAAATAGGTGTCTTTGGTCACCAGTTTTGTTTTGGGGAACAAGAAAAGGTCACAGGCTGACATAACGGGCGATTAAGGCAGTTGTTGCAACACGGTGACCCGTTAAGAGGCCAAATACTGGTATACGCTGAGGGCGGTGTGACACGGCGCATTGTTGTAATGAAGAAATCAATTACCAGCGATGTCTGGGCGTACCCTGTCATTCGTTTTCGCAATCTTTCGAGTACTTAGCGATAGTAGGCTTGATGTACGGTTCGCGTTGGTGGAAGAAATCCTTTGTGGACGATTCCAAGGCTATCAAAAAAGGTAATAAACATCGTATTCAACTTTGGCTTGCTCATTGCTCGTGCGGAGACAACCATTGTATGCTTTGGCGTTTGGTTTCGAAACACCTGGGCACGACTAAGAGTACTATCACCATGCGCTTTTACAATTTTAGAGTACGTTTCTGAAGCTGTTCCGCCCAATTCGGCGCAAATTTTTGCAAATTTGAAGAACACACATTTACTCAACACGATACAGCAGGCGAACTAAACAAGCTAGAGCAATGGCAAGTATATCAATGGATTGGAGAAAGATGTCGGTAGTAGGAAAAGGTCGCAGGGCTACAACAATCGCGGCATTATAATCAGTGTTATTATTTTATTGTCACACCTCGTATAGCCTTGACCTTCAACCCTTTCAGACTACCATTTGTTTTGATCTTTGAAGAACTCATTAAATAATTAAACTTTCGAAAATGACGAGGCTATAAAATGCACTTCTGTTTTTTTTGGAGATAAAGGGCGGAAGTTCTATGAGCACGGAATAATGATGTTGCAGGAAAGATAGCGAAAGGTCATCCAGCAAAATGAAAATTACATAAATGATTAAGGTTCATTATAAAATTTAAAAGAAAAAATTTATTTACTTTTCTTAAAAAAAAATCGCCGGTTTCTTTTGGGCCAACCCAATATATACTTGGTACAATAATGCACATAAATATGTAAGCATATGTTGCGCACCAACTCGTATGTGCCAAATAAGAAACGAAATAAACAAGAAGTAGCAACAATTCGTAAACATTACAAAGTTTCAGCTACGTTTTGTTGCAATTAACAAACAAAACCCGGAAATTTGTTTACAAACTACTTCAGAAAGTCAGCGGGAAAATTTGTGAATCCTAAAACCGTAGCCAACTGGACTGAAACTCAAGTGTTAACTTTAGTGGAAACTTTTAGCGTAAATAAGAAACGTTATTTTTTTATAATGTTTTGTGGTGTTAAGAAAGCAGAAGTCTTTTCAAAATATTAACAATGTTTGACGAAAGAGAATTTGAACTTTTCATACCGTTATTTGTGCCTTTTGCAAAGCGCTGACTCGCAGTTGCACTGCCAAATTAATTTAAATATGCAATTTCTACTTCTGAACCGCGATTTTGTGTTATGATTAATTTATGAAAGTTAGTCCCTTTAGAAATTACCGAAAGCAAATATAAAGTTTTTTGAAATATTTTTCAATTTCTTTTATACAAAATAGTAAAATTTGGTATTATAATTGGAAAAAGTTTTAATCTCACTGTATTCAACAAAGAGATATCAAGTACCTTTTAGGCAAATATTTTTTTGTAATAGAGTCTGAAATAATCAAGTTTTGTGTTTGCACCATAAACCGAAAACGTAAGAAATTTTGCAGCGAGTATCTGTGAGTACATCTTTGAAAGCCAATAAAATCGACAGGCATAGTAAATCGACACCAGAGAGATATCGAGCTCTTTATTTCAAAAAATTGAGAGACCGTCTGTTCTGTTTGGCCATCTCCTACAACCCAGCAAAAATTTGGAATTTAGTGTGAGCGACCTCAGTGCTTTTATTGCTGCCTGATTGTTGCTGCAAATGAAAATATTCTTATCTTTGAAGCTGCATCCGAGTTGTCTTGCAGCTTCCATTAAAGCTGAAAGAGAGTTCCATTTCAGAATGCCCTGAAAAGACATATACGCCAACTCTATCCTCTAGCTGTGATTCGTCTGTGTGTATATTTTCAAGCTTTTTCCTGTAGTGTGGAAAATATATTATTAGAACCTATTCAAGATATAACACGGCACGGAAAACAATAGCGATCATCTCTTCCCCAGATAATACGGTACGCAAACTTTTCCCTTTAAAGATCTATCTGGTCCCATTGCTTATGCAATATATTGCGCCAGATTAATACCATCCAAATCTGACTATAAAAAAACTTTATCCATCTCTCTTAAACTGCTGCTCCAGCCTCATTTTCGGATTCCGCCCGACCATAAATTGTACCAAATAATCACGCATTGAAGATAGAGAAGTTTTTCAACAATAAATCTTCGATTTTCCAAGCCCCAGGTAGAAGCACTTTTTGCTTATTGACGTAGCCACCGTGGTGGAAATGAAGCTCATCAGTCAGGATGATTTTTCGCTGAAATCACGGATCATTTTAATGCATTTCAAGGAACCAAACACACGACATTGTTGATGATCTGTCGACTTGTTTGATTTTTGTGTCAACTGATCATTAATCCTTATTTTACGGTTTAATGACGTTGTGGAGTGGCCAATCCCAAAGAACGACGTGGAATGGGTAGCCGTAGATTTTCTTCAACTTTTTGGACTCCAGCAGCTATTTCCTCAGTTGTTCTTAAACGTCATGCACTGAACGTGTTTTGTGCTTCACAACACCAAGTACTCCCAACAGCTAAATTTTTTCTACCAATTTCTGTATTGTGGTCAGACAAACCGAACGAACCGTCTCTGCCAGGTTTTCACCATTTTTATAGTGAATTTAATCATTTCAATACGTTGTTGAAGCGTGATTCGTTCCATTTATATTACTTGCGTTTTACTTGGCCAAGGTGAAAAAATTATGGCACCAAAAGTGACATCAACCAGAATAGCAGGCTATTCAATATAACTTCTTTTAATATTCTTTTATTTATTTTTTTATAAAATTTTATTGGAAAATCTTTAATAACACGGTATGAAATCGTATGTATGCAATATTATCGAGTATCCGCATGGCATTTGAGGCTTTATTTATGACGGCAATTATTCGTGCCGGGATTGATGGGCCAGAATTCCTCCTGAATTGTGGAGTCGGCGATCGTAAGTATGTGCCGATCCTTCAGGCAATCTTCAAAGCTAAAAAAATAAATAAACCTTCTCCAACAGGTAAAGAAAAGATGGAAAGCTTTTAATTTCAAATATAAATAGAATTATTTAAAGAAAAAACACATGTACATACTTTAAGAAGTTTTCAAAAACTTATTCTCACCTGATGCTGCTGCTGCTGAGGTTTCACAAAAAGAGAAGTTTAAAACGGCAACATCGGCCTTTTATTCCTTTCACAGAAGGTTGTTCCACAGAAGGTGGAAGGTGTAACGAAACGGGAATTTACTAGCAGCAGCGTCATCTCCGGGTAAAGATTCTGGCTTTGGTGCAGGGTTGCATACTCAAACAGTAATTATGTATATACTTATGACCATTACACGTTCATAGATGATATAAAATCAGCTAATTACAAATTGTATGGCATTTGAAACGGAATCGCGATAAGGCATTCTCTTTGTGCTATCCAATTTTATCAGGTGACTCATACGCTCAGAAACAAAACAGTGTTGTACTCTTAGTAACTGCGCAGTAGCTAAAAATATATTTCGAATTGAATATTTAATATTTCCCATTTGCATAATTCTTTTTCTAGTAGAGATATAAAATATTGCAAAAAAAAAGCTTATTAAAATACGAGTATATAAGGGTAGTCGTATATTCTTTCTATTTCTCAAAAGATGCATAACAGCTACGAGATTTCAAGATTTCCACTAATTACCTATACCTTCATATCAAAAAGGCAACACTAACAACAATTTGCTATACTGCAAAAGCGAATTTCAAAACGATTAGTTCATCGTAAAAACCAGAATGAATAGCATTGGTGCGGTCTTTACCGTCTTGGCAGTTTTGATATTGATTTATATTCGTATGTATATGGGCGTACTCATAAGAGTAAAATATTATTAGTGTAACAAATTAAGAGAAATCAACAAAAGACATGCAGTGATCTATGCAACGGTGGCTACCATTCATTACCACATTCGACTGTAGATGAAAATAATTGAAAACGTAAAAATATCAATCGATAGAAGTAAATATTTACTTATGTATTGGGTGTATGCATTAATTCGTGAGGTTTTCTAAGAGAGGAGCTCTACTAGAATTATTTCGCATCGTGGTCATCTGTGGCTACATTCAGTTCTTCTTCATTACTTTAACATGAGGAAAAGTGCTACCGAAAGCCATTGCAATTTACTGTACGCTTATGGTGACCATGTTTTAGCCGAACGAAAGTGGTTTAAAAGTGGTAATTTCGACTTGGACGAAGGAGAATGACCCGGACAGCCAAAAAAATTTCAAGACGAAGAATTGGAGACATTGCTCGACGCAGATGCATGCCAGACGCAAGAAAAACTTGCAAAAGTATTATGAGTTGATCAAGCAACCGTTTCCAGACGAATAAAATCATTAGGATTCATCCAGAAACTTGGAAATTGGGTGCCTTACGTCGGAAATGTTGCTTCAACGCTACCAAAAGAAGTCATTTTTGCATCGGATTGTCACTGGCGATGAAAAATGGATTCATTATGATAACCCAATATGCAAGAGATCGTATATGAAGCCCGGCCAACTATCGGAATCTACGGCAATGCTGTATATCCATGGTGCCAAGGTTATGCTATGTATTTGGTGGTACCACAAGGGTGTGCTCTTTTAAAAGCTATTCAAATCGGATCAGGCGATGAATGGGGACTTCTACCGAAAACAATTTATTCGTTTAAAAAAGGCCATCGCGGAAAATCGGCCAGAATATTCGACCAGACACGAATCAATAACTTTTCATTATGACAACGCTCGGCCACATGTTGCAAGGCCAGTTAAAAACTTTTTGGAAAACTGTGGGTGGGAAGTTCGAACTCACTGGCCTTATAGCCCAGACTTAGCACCTTTCGATTACCATTTGTTCAGATCAATGCAAAATGCCCTCACCGTAGTACGCTTCACTTCAGAACAGGGTATCAGAAATTGGCCCGATTCTCTTTTGGCCTCCAAGCCGGAGAAGTTATTTTGGAATGGGATCCACAAACTGCCAGAAAGATGGGCAAACATCGTAGCTTCCGATGGGGAATACTTTAAGCATTAAATGTATAAGAATTTTTTCACAAAAAAGTCTTAATTTTCGAAAAAAAACCGCACCAATACTGCAAATTTCTCAAATAAAAAACATCTACTTACATCTACCAGAGATTTGGAACAGTACTAAATCGGTAGATCTTTACTAAATATAATAATTACATTAAAAAAAAATATATATATATAACTGTCTAATTAAATAGTATTACTAAACTAAGGAGTACTACATTGCTTTTTCAGTTTATTCCAGATGTTTCGAAAAGTCTGGCAAGGTAGATAATGGACAAAGCAAAATGCATATCAATGGCAAACGGTTGAGCCAACTCGAATGGATACAAATAAAAGAGAAAATATGTAACATAAATAACTTAGCTCTAGAAGAAAGATATGTATATCTAAAAATCCTAAAAGATAATCCACAGCTAATGGTAGCAATAATTAAGGAACGACAAAAAGATGAAAAGAAACTTTAATTGTTGAAAAGGAAGTCGACAACGTAAATATATTGGCGTTTCCCTAAAAAAACTGAGCTCCATTAAATTCATTTTATTTAACATAAATAATAATTTGCATTTATTATATTAGGTGTAGTAAAAATAAATCCATTATTTTTGCATGAAATTTAAGGCTTTAATTTCTACTTTTCGTATCCAGCTTTATTTAAATGGGACCAAATGGTTTTTAGCGCAAGCTTTAGCTCTTGGGCAATCGAAATAGTGACGGTCGGTCTCGAATTCCATGATTTCAACGATATACTCGATAATTGGCCTTCCACTCCGTGAAGCACCTTTTACATCAGAATTACAGGAATAAACCGAAATACGTGATTGACCGGCATGTGTTTTCGCCTTTATCGAAGAAAAACTGTAAAATGTGAGCAAAAAGTATGGTTTTTTTTTCTACATCGATTTCGGCGCCCTGCCGATACAATGCACTTATGCCAACGCTTTTTCCAATTATCGAAGCAAGTCAAATAGTCACATTTTGGTTTGGCCTTCAGAGAGCGCGCCGATTCAGGTTTAATCTCCTCAATCGACTCAAAACGGCGAATACGGTGGTTGGGAAACGATATTCGTGGAATTTCAATCGAAACGTTCACGGAGAATGAGCATTATCGTGAACCACGAGTGATAACATTGACATGAAATTTGGCGTAGATGTCAATACAGTGCTACCGAAAATATAAACACTCGAATCTCAAATTATAAATTCACATTACTTTTTGCTCACAGTTAAGCATATTTTCTCTTTGCTAGTGTCCATCTTTGACGCACGCTCAAACAAAACCGAATCAACCAATTACGAAACTGTCCGAAAAGTATTTTTACTACAAAAAGTCATCTTTCTAACGCCATCTAGCGAAATCCGATCAGACTAATGGAACGCGGGATACAGATAAATGACGTCATCTATTTGAAAAATGATGGATTTGTAACCGCTGAGCGACTTTCAGCCGGCTCACCCACAAATTTGTAGTGTGCGTGTTGATGGTTTTCTAATAATGAACGAACGGCCAATGAATTCTTCTCTGGAGATTTTCATGTCAGAAATACAGTAGCAGGGCTTGATATTCCCTGCCTAAAGGCGTCCGTAAATACATATCAATAAAATTACGTGTACTTCTTTTGTAAAGCTTGCTAAAAGTGACAGCTCATAACTGGCAAAAGAAATAATACGCAACAAAATATTTTTTGTTTTACCATTGATATTGATACACTCCCCGGAGAAAAGAGTAGTTTTCCTTCTCAGCTAAGCAAAGAGCAACCTATTCATCGATTTTCGAGTTAATCCAGCCATAAATGAACTTTTTTTGAATAGGTCAGTTTCCCTGATCTCTGGTCCCTGGTCCATTATCCGGAGATAAATGTAGGGTTCCTGTTAATCTCAGCAAAAAGCCACCTATTCACCGAATTTCAAGTAAATCGACGAACAGATAAACTTTTTCGAATAGGTCAGTCCCTGGTCCACTTCCTGGAGATAAGAGCAATCCGCTCTTTCCCTGCTGATCCAACCAAAAAGCTACCTTTTCACAGAGTTTTTAGTAAATCTAGGCATAAAGAAGATTTTTTCGAGTAGAAATAGATTTTTTTTCTAAAAGCCTTCCCAGGAACCATGGAAACAATTTGACAAAATTTCAAATCAATCGGTCGGTAACTTTTGGAGATTTTTGGATTTTTATAAACAGACATAAGATTTGTATATTGAATATAAATTTTTTTAATATTTACATTCACATTTGCGCAGTTTTTATAAGATTTCACGATATTTTTTAAAATTTTTATAGACCTTACAATAAATACTTGAATCATTTAATAATATTTATGTATATCTAAATCAATTACTAACAGCTGCAACGCGTCGACTACCCTTTCAATAATTATTTCTTTGTTGTTCCATCGATTGCCATTTCGATTGCAATTTCAATCCAATCACTGTACCAGAACAATAACGAGGCACAGCTGCAACTAGTCTCACTTGCACTGTGAGTCCACAAACGGTACTGCACTTTGTCACACCTACACTCGTTCATATTCTTACATACATATCTATATTTGTATACAAACTCCCTGCAACACTATCTATTTGTAGTCTTGAATATACTAGCGCACACATACATGCGTATTAAGAAAAAGAATGATTACAACACTAATAAATTGAATGCAGGCGTAAGCGGGAAAATGGCTTTTCGCCATGCCCAAACACTTTGATAATCGCGATGACAGTGTCGCAATTACATTTCACCAACTGTGTCAGCAATTGTGTTGCCACAATGGACTCTGCCATCGGCTGCACCATCGCCACCTACAATAAGGTCGCCATTGTTAACGCGTTACGCTTTTGTAGCCTCCGTGTCGGAAAGCCTATTTGGCGCTTCACTTGAACTTCCATCCGTTTTCCTCTTAGGTTTTTTTTTTGCTGTTCTTGCTGGACATTATTGTAGCTATTATAAGTTTACACAATATGCATGTGCTTGCAATCATAACGGTGTATGGATATGCAAGTGTGCTGATATATTACATACGAGTATGCAGATATGTGTGTATAACTATCTATATCAATTCTACTTTGTGAAGTCATTGCGGCCGGACGTGTTTTGTCTACGCTCGAGAGTTTAATACTGTTTCGGTGGCATTTTAAATAAAAATTCTTGGTATTGTTTCAGTGAGACAGTTTGTTTGTTTGTCTACCCGTTGAAGCTGATTTTCTTGTATATCTTTTTGTATTTGTGCTTATANATCTCTGTTGTACTAAAAAAGATATGGAAATCTTATTGTACTAATGCTTTGTTATTATTATTAAAATAAAAATAAATAAATAAAAGTCGTTAATAATATATATGTACGAGTGAAAAAGTTCGGTAAGTTAACCAAAAAAAAAAGCCAAAAAAAAATTATTTTTATATTTTTTCGTAATTTTTGTCCTTTCTGATCTTCTTTACATAATCGCCATTGATTTCAATGCATTTCTTAAGCCTATAGATCCACTTCGGGAAACAGTTTCCAAAATCTTGCTTTTTTAGCTACTCAAGTTCAGCATTAACCGCATTTACTAGCTCCTCGTTGCTACTAAAGACCATTCCCTTTAATTTTTTTTTTAACTTTTCGAAGTAAACAAGGTGCTATATCCGGCGAATATGGTGCTAGACATATTTTTTCGATCCCAAAGATCGAAATAAAATTACTCATTATTCCATTAGTGTGAGATGGCGCGTTGTCATGTCTCTTTCTTCCTGTTTTGAAACAAATTTTGTAAGCACTCTTCGGTATACCATTTTGTAGTTGCCGCCTGACCCTTTTCCAGTGGAATAACCACGACGCTTTTAGAACGGGTGAAGTAAACCGGCATCATTACTTTTGCAGCTGATTTTTTTGCTTAGATTTTACGGGTCGGTTTCATGGGCTGCTGTTTGGTTTCTGGAGCGCACTTATAGAACCAAGATTTGTCACCAGTAATGTTTTTAGCTAGACTGACCATTTTCGAATTTGTTTACGAAAAAATGAGAAAAATGCACTCGAGCCACATGTTGGGTACCCATCGGGCAGATTTCTTCGTGTATCTCAGCTGATTACTTTATAGTCTCGATATAGCCATTCAAGCCCAAATTTTTAGCAATCATTTCTTGTGTCAACCATGGGTTGGTTTATTTTGAACTTCACCAAAGCTAAAGTGGAATGTCCGGTTTGGAATCTTCGGAATCACTTAGAAATAGTCTTTAAAATGGTGCCATCGTTCCGTATGCAATTTGGCATTCACTGAATGTTTTTTTCTGGCTGTAAATTGCGCCGTAATCCGAAGAGAATCACATAGCAAATTTCTGCGTTTTGTCCTCACCATTTTAACCGATCTCACTAAAACTTGAAAAACGACTAATAAAATTATTGCAAAGAATTTAATGTTTTTTATATTTAATAAAAACAAATTGAAAGTCAGACCAACAAACTGACCGAGATTTTGTTCAAGTCTGTTATCTGCGCACTAATATGAAAACAATTTATCCAAAAATATACAATAAACACTAACACATCAATTTTAATGAAAAATGTAGTTCCATATATAATATGATCCTGCCATTTAGCTATCGCTGGAAAGTCCGTAACAATGTCCCTTACAGTGTAATCAAAAACAGTTGATGTTCGTAGTTTTTAAAGCGACAGAGATTTTTTGAATCAAAATTTTATCGAGATTACATCAAAATATTATCAGGATCCGGACCCGGACCCGGTTACCCGCTGCAGTTAAGGAAGCTACCCCTACAATTGGAAAAATATATTGAGATGCTACAACTATAGACGAGTCACGTTTGCGCTGGTTCATCACCTTTAGGCGTAAGTATTTCGAGTTAAGGTTCTACATTCTATACTTACGCATCACCAGTTTATAAAACTTAAAACGAAGAGTTTATTATGTGCTGTCCATGAAGGGTGGGCCCGTCTGTTACTAAATGTTTCTGTAGTTTTTCGAGACAAATTATTCATTTCTTCTTTTCACTGTTTGGCCCCAACTAGAAATACCATGTGAAACTAGTTTGCTCTCCTCCTGAACCTTTCAACGGAATGGAGATCTCTTCCCCCTCTGCCTAGTTCTGCTTTCTTCAAACTAGATAGAGAAACGAAGTGAATGAGTCTGGTACTGAACGTGAACAAAACGAAATATACAGTCGTCGCATTTACAGCTTTATCCTAACGTTACTGGTGACAGTCATAAATTAGAGGTCGTAGATAATTCCATATATCTAGGGACCAGTTTTAACACCAAAGAAAATGTCAGCCTTGAAATCCAATGCAAAATAACTCTTGCCAACACGAGCTACTTTGGAATGGACAGACAATTCAATAGGAATCAAACCAAACTCTAAAAGTCAATCAGAAGCATGAACCTTAGAGTATTCGTGAGAAAAGTTTTACGTACAACAGCGAATACCGCCAAAGAGCTGTGTGAGTTATACAATGACATTGATAAACAGGGATGAACTAAAGTATTGGCACAGCAAGATAGTCCAACTTTAACACCTTTTTTGACCACTAATGAAAATATTTTTAATTCCGAAAAACAATTC